ACCGTAAACCGTAGCACAGGCTATTTTTCAAAATTCGTCGTCCGTGGGATTTGAACTCTAGACCTGCCACTTGGAGAAGGTGACGACTAGACCACTACACTAAGTCGCCACACCTCCTCTATAATTTTTACTTAATAATTCAAAAGTATTTACTTAATAAAATTTTGTAAAATTTTAAAAAGAAAAGATAAATACCAGGAGTTTTATATATAATTTAAGATTTGTACCCTCTACCTTTAACAACTTTTATTATTACATCCTTTATTTACTTGTAAAAATTAAGACTACATAATAAAAAAATTATTATATATTTTTTTTTTGAATAAAATGTGTTTAATTCTCTGAGTATTTTTGCATTTTTCTTTAGACTTTTTATTTCTATTATCTCTTATAAAAATTTTTTCTTTACCATTAAATTTTTGTATTATGCAAAACATAAAAGATGAAGAGAAACTTAATACAAGTTACTGCTAGATAATATCACATCACCACTAAAAAGGAAGATTTAATTAAAGAAGTAAAGTGTTCATTTGAAATAAATATGGACGCATAAGGCTCCATTTCTTTGTTTCAGCAAAGTTCATTGTGAAAATAACTTTTCATAAATGCTAATAAGACACTTTTGTTTATGATAATATGTCTGACACGTGATGTATTACAAAAAATATAACACATGAAATATTTAACTTTTATCTAAATTATAAGAGATGAATTTTTTTTTGTGTATATTTCGAATGAAAGGTCATGTACAATATTATAAATTTTATCAGAACTTTTATTTAAAAAAATGTCTTTAACCTTGTCAACCTTCTCCATATCTCTCATTTGTTTTTATATGATGTGAAGAAAAGACAAATTGTCTTGTTCATTATACTCCTCCACCATCTTACCAAACTTTCTAAAGTGTTTCTCTATTTCTTTCTTCTCGCAAATCTCTTCTAGATAGTAAGCACAACATGAGGTTGAAGAAACAGCCACTCTCCATACCAAAACATATATTAGTGTCCAAATATTTACATTTCTCTGCCTTTATAAATGTATCTTTAATTACTGGGAACAACCTTTGTTACCGTCAAAAAATTCATAAAAAATTCTTAAGATCAAATATTTCGGAAAATTTAGAATAATATTCAAATTTATATTTTTCTTTACAATCTACCCAGCGCGAAACTACATCCTAGAAAGTAATCTGCACTTTCTTTTCCTCAACAATACAGAATGGAGGACCAACTTCCTTATACAACTTAGAAGCTTTATAGGCCTTCAGTAGTAACTTTTTTACCATGTCTTGGGCTCTGTATTTGAAAAAGCGTGTTAGTATGTTAAATGGATTGTAAGGAATTATACATTTTTTGTCAAATAAATCTTGCGCAATTCCTTGTATATATAGTGATATCTTCCATTCAGCTAATTCCTTATAACACTTAGAAAGTACTAATATGTTTACGAATTTTTACCTTGGATTAAAATCTGGTTCTTGATGACATTCATAAAGTATATCATTGATTGTATTTTTAATATGACGCTCGAGGATCATAGTTTTAATTTCGTGGGTAGAAATGCGAATAAAGAAGTCATTATTGTTATTGAAAGTGTATGATGATATTAGGAATGGGTGGGTTTTATATGTTTGAAATTGTTCGTTGTTCGCTTGTTTGCTTTCCACGCAGAAAGGTTAAAGTCGTAAATTATATTTGAACTCTTCTTAGATTAAACCAATTTTGCCTAAATTTATATTCTAATTTTGCTTCAAATTTTATACTTCACTTTTACCCAAATTTATATTCAAATAAACCCTAATTATGCCAAAATTTATACTGTAATTTTCCCAAATTTATTATCAAATTCTACCCAAATAATCTAATTTATACTTTAATTTTGCCCAAATTTACATTCCAATTATGCCCAAATTTATATTTTAATTCTGCCCAAATTTATTCTCTAATTTTGCCTAAATTATTATTAATTCCAGTGACTAATTTCTGCCACTAATAAATTTTTTTTATTTAAAAATATTGCACCAAGATTTCAGCTCTAATTTCGTAACTCTGGTTCTGGTATAAACAATTTGGCTACAATCTATAAATTATGACTCAGTTGTTTATTAGTAATACAGTATAGTGTATTGTTTTAGATATTTTGATAATTTATATACGATAAAAATATGTTTTTTTAAATAGAAATTTTAAACTTGATGCAGTCTATTAAATTATATAATATTATTCTAGATACATATTTGTTATAGAATAAATGACTAACCACTTCGTAATGATTATAATCACAATGATATTTCGAAAATTGTGCAAATTCAAAAACTTCTACAAAATCAATTCTTTGTAGTAGATAAATACAACCATCTTCTTCAAAAACTTCTTGTTTACAAATACTACAATACAATTTAATCGGTTCTTGATCAAATTTAGAACATATTTCTTCAAATAATTTTTGGAATATCAATTTAGCATCTTTCGAATATATCCTATTTCTAAGAACCTTCTTTTATCTGCCGAGGATATTTGTTTATGAATTTGAGAGCTAGATATATTTCCTTTACAAGAAAATTTATAGCTTTGACAAATCATATATTACTTTTCATATCTCAGACCTGCCTTAAATTATTTCATATACTTTTCGCATTGCACCGCAAAGGAAAAAACCTTATTATCGTTATATATTTTTATAATAAAAATAAATACACGAATTATTAAAAAATAATCATATAATGCTATGCATTTTCCTAGTTATTAGCTATAAAAACTGACAAAAACAAAGAAAAAAATGAAATCTGATTTTGTGATATCTTTTAATTCTAGCCAAGGCCGTTCAAAGTTGATTATTAGTTTAACGTCAATATTTTTGGCTCAGGCATGGGGGGGGAGGGGAGGAATTTAAACAAATACATATATTCCCCAAAATATTTGATTAAATCTCATTGGTCAACCTTAATCACATGATTAATGAAGTTTATGCTGTGCTGTGATTGGCTTGTTTAATTTTCGGGGGACAGTTAACCGAGGAGGGATGACGTTAAACTAATTATCAACTTTGAACGGCCCAAGAGCACATGATTACAGCTAACTCAATGCTAATTCTGGCCAAAATTAAAATGAATCGAAATTTTTGCTTAGATGTCATTTATATGATATACTTTAAGATAATAAATTTTATTATAAACATATTCAATGAAACATGATAATTAAAATTTTACAAATACGTAAAAATATTAAAATTCTATTTCCTTGATTTCTCTTGTTCATTCTTCATTCCAACGGATGTAAGTCTTGGGACATTGTTCGTGTTCATAGTGATATTTAGCTTTATATTTTTTCGAACAATTAGGACATTTGATCTTTCTTTCTCATTTTTCACTTACGATTTCAACTGACGGCCATTCACCTACAAAAATATTATATTTTTTGTCTATGAAATTACACTTGATTAAATCTTTACCCTATGGGAAAGGAGAATTTGTCAGTTTGGCACCCCAACCATCTTCTCGATCTAAAGTAAATACTGTTATCATAATTCGTAAAATTTCATAAATACGAAAGAAAATTATTTAAATTTGCCTTGCGAGGCATTGTTAAAAATAGGTAATTTTGATATTAGTACAATGTGTGTTTGTTTTTTTTGTCTTTTGGCTATAATATGACAAAAATCAACTCTATCGAAATTTTAATGTATAAAAATAACGCAAGAATCGATCATATATATAATATATTTTAACTCTTGGAAATTATTAGGTAGGTCTTCTCCTAATATATATCAAGCATTTAAATTATTTCGTTTCTATGAATATAAAAAAATTTATACGCGCATATGAACAGATTAAAAAATTTTATTATAAATTGTAATGTAAATTTAAAATAAAAATAAAATATTGTATAATTTTTTTTTATGTATTTTAGTGTTTAACACAATATACTCAGTACATAAATACTGAATTTCATATCTTTATAAATAATCTTAAAGTAAATATATATTATCTTTATAAATATTTTTAAAGTAAATATATATTTCTGTATTTATATTAGATGATTAAAAATCCTTTGATCATATCTGTTTAGTCGCATCGATCAAATTCCAATATACAAGGATTTATATATGCCACGATTTTTAATGTACAGACTAATCTAGTTAAAGTAGAGATATGAACAGTTTATATTATATAAAGTTAACTTATTTCTAATATCCAAATTGATACATTATTATAATTTATACATAAAAATAGATAACAATAATCATCTAATGTTATTACATAAAAACCAGGATGAACTTATACATTACTAATTTATACATAAAAATAGATAACGATAATCTAATACTATTGCACAAAAGAATTAAAGTAGCTTTTTATATTCGTAACATATTAAATAAGTAACAACTGTGTATATACTTCAAAAAAAAAATTATACATATATATCACATGTAAACAACTGTGTATAATATGATATGACGTGCAGAAACCTTTTTAATATTGAAAAGATCCAATGTGAAATGTTCTTGAAAATTAAACATCTGTAAAAATGGCTTCTCTATTACCAAACGAAGTCCTTTGTGAAGTATTTAAAAATTTAAAGAATAATTACAAAGACTTATTTTCATGCTTTCTTGTTAACTGTGAATGGTGCAGAATTATTGTACTGATATTATGGAGTAAACCTTGATTTAAAGATTTAAGAGTTATCGAATTGTGTCTTTTTGGATTAAATGCTAAAGAACAAACTAAGTTAATCCCATTTAAAATTGACATTCCGAAGCCACTATTTAACTATGCAAGTTATATTACATTTATTAACGGTCAGAGTTTGACCGATGAGGTATTAAAATTTCTTAACAAATACAAAAAAAGTTCTCCTGTAATGACTGCTTTTTTGATTTCAATGTTGTTTATAAAACAAAGTAAGGAAGTAGAAGCTTTGGGCTTTTCAAAAAATAATCTTGGTTCTTTTAGAGGAGAAGAAATAGTAGATGCTCTTTTAAAAAACAAACCAAAATTAGTTTATTTAAATCTTTCAAATAATCAGCTTGGCTCTGATGTAGAAAAAGCATTAGCAAATGCTCTTTGCGAAAACAATATCTTAACTTCTTTAGATCTTTATCTTAACCATCTTGGGTCTGAAAGTGGAAAAGCAATAGCTAATGCACTCTACAAAAACAATAGTTTAACATTTTTAGATCTTTCGTATAATAGACTTGGTCTTTCAGGAGGAAATGCAATTGTAAATGCTCTTTGCAATAACAATACGTTAACAATAATAGACCTTTCAAGTAATAAACTTGGATCCGATATGGGAAAAGCGCTAGCAGTTGTTTTTTGTAAAAATACCTCCTTAACTTCTTTAAATCTTTCAAACAACAATCTTGGCTGTCTCGGAGTGCAACCAATAGCGGGTTCCCTTATGTCAAGAAAATCCCGAGCTGAAGATCACTGTAGATCCTTTCCGATCTGATTCCGGAGCCCAAA